ATGCTATTCACAATAGAATATAGTACGTTTGAGAAGGATGCTTGTAGAAACAGACTGGGATATATTTGCTGATATATGCCTGTGCCTAAGTCATCTTCTGGATCAGATGTTACTTTTTGATTCATCGCTATAACTTCCCCTTTTCTGAAGACAATAGAGAAATTACTTCTCCATGTGACTGGGCCTTCATTGATAGTTTTCAGATATCCAAAACAGTTTGCTTACAAACACCGGAGGAATAATTTAGATGCAGACACTGTCTTGCATCATAATATTGTTTCTGGACTAGATAAAAGTGTTAAGTATGTTCGTTGCGCCTTTTTGGATTACTCATCACCCTTTGACTCTGTTCCTAGACCACTCTTGTTAAGTAAGCTTGTCATAGCTCATACTTAGCCATAGGTTACAAAGTGGCTGTATTCTTATTCTTCTGAAGGAAAACAGTATACTGGTAATTAAGGGAAGCGCTCAACTTCATTACTCACTGAAGGTGGTGTGCCTCAGGTGCTGTACTTCCTCCGTTTCCGTTTTCCTTCTTTTTGCACGACTTCCCTTATTCTATTGAAACTGATTTTATTAAGTATGCTGATGACCTGATGGTGTCTATTCTAGTTAACTCTCACTTAAATTAAACGGTTTCTTGTCTCTTATTGACCAGTTGTTCCTGTCAAATGGTCTCAAGTTAAACCCTCCTAAACGTCAGACTGATAATTCTAGCCACAGGCGTAAACAAAACGGACTTGGGTGAGCTACCTAAATTTCATGATGTCTGTTGAATCGATAGTATTTCTACAGAAAGTAAATCGATTGTTAATTATCTTGGGTTGAGTTTTACTTCTGATCTTTGTTGGTAGTCTCATATCTTGTTAAACTTACTACATAAAGAAACTGAGGTTCCCTGGTATAACTCAACCTCTTCTTTTACAATTTATTAATTCCTGCATTTTACCTATTCTTCTCCGTTGTTCCCAATTGATCTTTCTTGGTCTGCTACTAAAAACGGACTATATTATGTTGCGCAGGGCTTTGAAAGTTGTCAGTAGGGTGAGTGGTGGGTCTTTGGCTCAACTGATTAACACTGTAGTTGATAGACATTTAAATTCTACCAAGCAATTAGCGACGGTCATTTTAACTGAAACTGAGCATCCACTTTATTCACAGCTCTCTCCATGTATCTCCTCAGGGAGGACAAGGAGAAACTACATTAAACTGTACGCTCGTACAGCTAAGTATAAGAAGTCGACTGTGCCTTACCTAGCACGCATATTTTGTGTGGAAAAAGTTTTAGAACAGAACTCCCAAATCACTTTTGTAACAGTAAAAAATCTCATTTCAATAATTTAACTAACAAAGTAAACTTTTCTCGCTTTTAATATTTTTTATATTACTTAAATTTTTATAATAACACAATTCGAAATGTTATAAAGGAGTATGTGTACACGTATGTTTTGCTGTTGTTGTGACATACCATGCTGAGAACTCGAAATTGTACCACAAATTGTTTGGAATAAAGTGAATTATTACCATTATTATTATAACTCTGGTGAACAGACACCATTTGTGCAGATCATTTCTAAGTAAAGTTTTGTATAGCTTCAAGCAATTCGTAAGAACACCAGTGATTTCCTTATTATTTATTGCCTTCGTCTGATGAATATGATGACTGGATATGTCTAATCAGTGAGCTTGGAGAGTTATTTTTTCCAAGGACGTATATATGTACGGATGTATATGCTGGTTAAATGTATCGTAGCATTCCTGATGGTTATCTCTATCCATTCCACAGTGACCGAAGTTGCAACATTATCAGGTATCCATTAATATGCTGTTGAAACTACGCTTGTATGCATACATTTATTCACACAGCTTGTTACTTCTGTCAAGGTCATTAGTTGGCATCCGCTTCACGTCCAACCTGGTTTTTCCCATAGATCAAGACTTCGCATTTGAACTTCAGGATATCCATTTCAAACTATTCCACTAATGAACGCTATACAGTAATGTAATTTGAGATTTTATGGGGATTTTATTTCAATTAATCCATAATTCATTAAATGACTTCATACTAATCAGATATTTTTCAAACAGTTGAAACATATTACAGTTTAAAATGCTTCTACTCACAAGTAGTATGTATCAAACAACAACATTTTCAGGATTTGTGGCGTGCACCAGTAATCTTCAGTTGTTCAATGATAACTATCGTGACACTGTAGTGATAATAACGTATATAATGAAATATATAATCTAGTATTCCTTTTCTAATACTGACGATTGACATCTACCGATGAGGACTGTCTAACCATCTAAACACGTTTGAATTAGTTTAGAAAAGCTGTATACAGAACAGAGTTCAAAGTGAGTACATGACCTTGATGGATTATTTATTTTTACATACAGATAAACAAAATCTATCATCACATATTTGATTCTGTATGTATTACTCTCACACTCAACTTGAATTAACGATTGGTGAGTAGCACATATTCTACACATAATTTTTCTAGTTTCCTTGTAAGCTTTAAACAATAAAGAAGAGGAGTAAGACTGATGACAGATGCTGATAATTATCATCTGGGTGGATAGTATTCAAACCAACAGATGAACTATTTCTTAAACGACGTGTAAATGGATTCATGGAATTCAGTCCTTTTTTATAACATCACTGGAGATAATATGAGTCACCAAAACACAAATGTTTAAGCATCCAAAATCTTATTCGTACCATAACTATATGAACTTCCCTTTCTATCCGTTATAATGATATTAATACCTTGAGATAAGAGAGTTTGGCAATAACTAAGTTTCAGTGATGGCCAATCAAGTTCAAGTCTGCGCTGACCAATCAGAACCGAGAGTTCGAAGGATAAGATTTTCAATATACTTATGATCTTTGAAACTATATCACTGTCTGTTTCGCTACTCATTGTATGAGACTATATCATCATTTTCGCTCGTATTCCCAGTAAAGACTTTAAGGTGTTTCGGAGACGACTCTACAGTTTTTTTGTTGACTCCGGCTGTCAGATCAACGAGGTGCGTCTTGTGAACAACAGCTTGATTACAGGTAACCCGTTTCTGATAGACGCATATACGATTTCCAAGCGTCTGTGTACATTGTGATACACAATGCCGCATATTTTTGCTCAACCGCTAAGATAGATCTTTTGATCTGCCCTTTATCCATTGAAAATGTCCATTCTTCGTATACTGACTGCACAAGACAAGAATCTGTGATTTCTAAAGACAGTAAATAAATTATCACGTCCAGTTTAAGTCATCTTCCCAGATTATATTCACATCTATACAAGAGACATTCATCTTAGTTAGTTGGAGGCACTTGGTAGTAAGCCCTACCTGACCTAGGTTTCGTGCTTATTGGTATTCGTCACTGAGGCGTATCTGCAACCTTCAGGGGATTAATTCCCTGTCTGGGGTTTCAAACCCCATCACCCACTGTTACAGTCAGGAACGTCACCACTGAACTCTTCGGGAAGCGACTGACCTCCTGCAGGGACATCAAGTCCTTAGGGGTTGCAGACACGCCTTGATGAAGACTAATAAAAAGCACCAAACACAGGTCCAGGGCTTCCTGCCGATTGTCCCAAAGGAACTAACGTCTATCCTAGTGCACCACGATCCTGAGTCTCTTAGCTTGGTGGCTATATTAGAAAACGATCGATGGAATTCTGTCAGCATATAGGACTAGACAACATGAAATTAGTTGCCCTTCAGTGACCAAACAAGGAGACATCCATCTATTTCAACCATTTTGCTTACTCCACAAGATTTCACATCTAACCCGCAGTGAAATCTTCGTCATAATTTATCAAGTCTATGCAGAGTAAACAACAGGGTCAACGGTCATTCGTTATTTCCGTAACGATTGACTTTGAAAGAAACATCTATAACTTCATTTGTTGTTCCCATCGTTTCCTTTCACTAAAGTTTAGTTCTACCGAAAGTTTGAAGATCATTGATATCATTCCCTTAGCTGCTGCAAAATTCAACACTATCATTATCATGTATCAGTATTCTGCATCTTAAACATATAACTCCTATTCATTTGGCGTTCATATGGACTCCTAAGCTTACACTTTCTGAAATACAATTACAAGAAACCCTTAAGAATATTAGAACATACTGAGGCTTCCTTGGCCTCATTTTGTGTTAAATGCGAGGAAGTAATCAGTAGGGAGCTCTGACTACCCTGGGTTTTCGTGCCTACCAGCACTCGTCAGCAGGACATACTTACAGTCCTGAGAAAACCCATGTGATCTCACATACTCAGTGTCTCATTGATCAGCATCAAATTACTGACTATACCATTTAGCTATTCAGCTCATTACTAACATTCATTGAACTGAATTACACAGACGGCTTTTTCAGCAAACAGTGCCTGATATCACTGCCAAGCCTTTCGATTTACTCTCTATCATCAGAAAAAGAATATTTATCATATGCTGATAACTTTGCTGCCAATACCTACTTCTCATCTTTATTTTGTACTTTCCATAATAAACTAGGCCAAACGTTCAACAGTATCTGCACATGGTTAGAAGTGAGACGTAGAACGTGCATCTCACTATATGTTAAACTAATCAACTGAATGTATTGGTATTTATTGGCGTTTCTATGTGAGACGTTTAATTCATCACTCATTGTCCCAAGCATCAATGCTGACTCTATCAGTTTGCTAATTACAGTCAATAACTTTTCTTCAACAGTTCAACGGTGAACAAATTACAAACTGTTTGTCGATAATGAAACATGCCCATCAAGTCATAGAGGAAGGAAGAGATAATTCAGTGAAGAAAATTCCCTTCCTCGACAATATCATTCTTTAAAGCCGTACAATAGTATTTACACATACATCGTAAACATGTAACAGTCTATTATTAAACAGTAGTGTATAACTGAATTATTAAGCTAGTGCTAAAAGAAATCAAAATCAAGAGTGGAAAGTAGTTGCGTAATAATCTTTTAGACATTGGGAATAACGAGGAAGTCAAGGAGTTTGACACAAGGTGAAAATTGTTGGTAGATGAAAAATGTAAATATTCAGTGTTCCTGGATGTAGTTTCTCTCTTTACCAATGTCCCTCTCACGGAAACTATCTGTTTTCTGTGTGATTTCATTTGATTATCCTAAAGGAATTACTTCTAAGATGCACTTTCAACGTGCAGTTGAAATTCAACAATGACCTATAAAGACAAAAGGATGGGGTTGCTATGGAGTCACCGCTTGAACCGATTCTGGCTGTTTGTTTTATGGCAAATCCGGAGAATAATGTGCTTCACTCAATAATTCATAGTTCCAACCTGTATAGAAGATATATGGATGATACATTCAGTATATATGTTCAAAATATAGATATTAGGACTGTAATTAAAAAGGTTCAGTAATTGTCACTCATCGATCAACTTCACATCAGAACTTGAAGAGAACTCAGAATTCCGTGTCTTGATGTCGTATCAAAACGGAGACCAGAGATCGATTTGTAGGAAGCCTATATAGGATAGACAATACTTGAATTTCCATAGCTGGGTGCTTCTTAGCAAAAAAGGAATCTGATCCATTCTTTATCTTCAAGAATCAGAAGAATCTACACTAGTGATACTGTCGACGATGAATTAAGCAAACTACGGAAGATCTTCATGTAAAATGGACACCTATCCAGATTTATTGAGAAGAACTTGAAATTAAAATAGAAAACGGAGCTAGTACTCACAGTTCTAAAGAAGACTTTGTTTATGAACGTTGGTTTCAAAGGTGATACGGTAGCAGAAATCCTGAACAGTGGACTCTCCAGATCACCGTGGAGCTACAGATCAGCTTCTCTAGTCAGTGCGCTAAGGACAAGTTGCTGCTTTGGGCCACCTCAATGTGCATCTATAAATTTACTTGCTCCTCTGGAGCTAGTTGTATAGACCTCATAAAGCGTACACTTTCAAAACGTATCTCTGTGCACTGTGTTGCATGGTTGTCGAGAGGAGAATGTAAATCAATTAACAGTCCATGTAATTCGGAAACTAGAATTCTTATAGTTTGGCCGCACACTTAAACACTTTTATGCAAATTCATTTTCAATGCAAAAGTCTGTTTTTAAGGCTGAATAAAATATTACAGCCTATCAACTAGTAGCCTCCAGATGGAGGATAAAACTTTCCTATTGTTTACAAACACCTTTTATTGATTACTAAGAACTGATATCCATCCTTGATCCACTAATGTTTACTGCTCACTTATAAACATCTAATGGATATATTATTTATTGATACGCGTTGACCGAGAGATGGCCTTCATGCCCCAGTGGCCTGGTGGATGATGCATTGGCATTCAAAATGACGGGTACTGGATTCGAATTCCAGTGAGAACAGTATCACTGACTGGGGTTCGAGTATATCCATCTGATGAGTCGCAAACGGGACGAAACGCGCGTCTTGGACCCACTGCTACCCACAAATAAGATTACGATAGATAAATAAATGAAATGAAACTTTACTAAACTTACTTTCTTCTCCTTCTTCTTGTTTAAAAAGTTTGAAGTTCAATGAGAAGTTTCATCTTAAACTGAAATTAGCTGACTGAAGTTGATGATTTACTCCAGTCTAGAAATTCTTTATGAACACTAAACGTATTCAAAAGCTAATCATTATTTGTTTGGAGTTAAGAATAATAACCACTGAATTTCTCACACCATATTTTATGTGTTTACAATGAAGTTTGGCGAAAATGATTTTACTCTTCAGAATGAGCAAAGATCAATTTTGTTAACGAATGTCAAGTATAAATGAAACTGAATTTTAAAATCTCCTCTTTTCAATGGTATCAACTTGTGGGCAAATCTTACTTTCAATATATCATAAGTTTACTGCCTAATAATGTGAATTAATTATTGGTTAGTCTCGTGACTTGGAACATTTAATCTGTATTCATCATCGATTTCTTAATCTTGGCTTGTTGTTTCGCATTTATTACCAAGTCATACACAAATTATAAATTGTTCATACATTACTAATTATTAACCAATCCCTACAAGATATAAGTGGAGGAATGTATGCTAATGTTTGTAGTTACCAGACATTGATTTTGAACCGAATTGATCGGTCCGTATGTTCACCTGAGTAGATGCCTTGATATTGCCTGTAATTTCAATTTGACAGCCATATGACGACGCCACATGCCAAGTGATTCACAATGGAAAGCTCAGTAACGCCTTTGAAGTGAAAACAGGGGACAGGAGTAAGACAAGGCTGTCACCTACTATCATCGATCATCTTCCTCATTGTGGTCGACTGGACTGGATCATGCAGCAAACCGTGAGGAGCGAGAAGATAGGCATACGCTGTTTGACCGATGAAAAGACTCTAGAAGATTTGGATTTCGCCGATGATGATTTATGTTTAGTGTCTCGTCGCACAAACTCGAAGATCTACACGCAAAAACTAACAGGTTCGCAGAATATGCGAGGCAGCGAAGACGGGACTTCCTTCAGGTGAACATAAAGAAGACGGAGGTGATGACGATACCCAACCAACTACAACAAGCACCGATTACCATTAACGGGAAAACCTAAAGGAAGTTGTCTCTTTTACCTACCTAGGCAGCATCGTCTCAACTACAGGTAGAGGCACAGATGAGGACGTCAAAACAAGAACCGGAAAGACAGCAAGACAGGCCTTCCTGCATCAATCTGAAATCGGTGTGGAAATCTTCTGCACTCAGCATAAAGCGTGAACAAGATCCAGATTTTCAAACTAATCTAGTCAAGTAAGTCAGTACTTCTACGCGATGGTTGAGAGACTTGGCGCGTTACGAATAGCATTTCCAACAAACTGTAGACATGCATCAAGCAGCAGCTGCCGCCTACGCTTACTCGATACTGAGGATCGATACGATGGTCAGAAAGAACAAATAACCAGGAACTCTGATCTGGCAACGAACCAAAGAAGAACCTGCCGCCCAACAAATATGCAGAAGAACAATGTAGAAATGGATTGGGCATACACTGAAAAGATGGTTTGGGGACATCATGCGCTATGCTAGGCCCTCAAGTGGAAGCCAAATCAGAAACAACGAGTTGGGCATCCGAGGGTGATATGGAGGAGATGGTGTGAGGAAGAGATGAAAATTTCTGGGCAGTTGTGGAGCCAGGTTGAAAAAACCTCAGAGAAGAGAATGAGATGCTGACGTGCTACTGAAGCCCTATGTTCCACTAGGAACCCAGGGGACAAATAATAATAGTAATAAAATAAATGGATAGTGGTTTGCAGTGAAATCCAAGGTGTACATTTAGTCTCATTTTGGATTTGTCAACTGATTATTCCTGTCTCCCAGTGAATGATGTTGTCTCCACTGGGAGTCAAACTTGGGACCGATCACTTCAAATGCCAGAGCCACTAGGCTACTCAATCATGATAGCCACTTCTTATGCAATGAGTTTAATTTGTATAATATTCCTTATAATTTGAACTTTATACACAAACATTTTCATGTAAGTGAGGAGGCTTTAAAGACTGGAATATTTGCGTATTAGATTTTTAGCAGATATGTGTATGCATAACTAAAGATTTTCGTATTTTATCAGGTTCTATTCGATGAATTTCGCAGTTAATTCTATTACTTGATACGGTATTAGTTGATGAACTGATTATCATATTGACAGAGGGTGAATGAACTAAACAAAAGAGACTTAGGCAACATGAGTAGTTGAATAGGCAACCTACTGACTGTTGACTAGATTTCCTACAGAAGAAGTTAGATATCTAAGTTTTTCAAGGGTTAAAAGACAATAGCTTGATAGCTTTGAAATTAAGTTTTTCTAGCATATACTTCTGAATACTTTTAGAAGCTGATTGTCCCATCAAGTTGAGGGATAACATCTTGAACTGCCGTAATGATAAATCTAGGTTTGGATTTCGGTCTATATATAATGGTAATGCGTTGAGTATGCTATGTTTTTTTCAACTTTGATCAACAGCACCACGGTTTCGTCAATAAGAAACCCCTCAGGAATTCGTAAGCAATAAAGTAATTGGTAATATTCTGAGTAGTAATGAAATATTCAGTATCTTCTTAACACTGAACTGAATATGTTTCCTTCCCGTCCTGGAGAACTGGTTTAATTATTTCATCATCGAAGTAAAATTTCTTTGTATTCACTGAAATCCAGTTAATGTTACAAGATGTTGAAGATTTATTCGGTAGTAGAGATGATAAATGGCGGTGTGAAAGACTGGAATACTTCTATATACAAGAGAATTCCCTGAACTAGTCACATGGTTTTATAAAGGTAGGAAACATGACTTGACAGTAATAAAGTTACAAACTCCGGTTTTGTGAACTCATCTCCTCAACGGTCATTTTAAAAAAATTCTGAAGTGAACACTAATGTACCGGAGGATATCAAGTCAGTTTGACTGGGACTAGCAAGAGTACAACAAGAAGAAAACTAGATAAAAACTGCAAAGAATTTAAGAAATTTTACACAATTGTGTCTGTCAATATACAATACACACAAACAAAATATGTTTCAGTAGTAATGTTAAGTTAGTGCGTAGGCCATTTATGCAAGAATTCATGAACTATGAGTAAATCAAGTCTGATATGAGGACAAATATTCAATGATGGGAGTAGATGATCGTGTTATCTCGTGAATTGACAGAATTAAGAAGGTGCGAACCACTGGGTTCCATACCAGTTACTTGCTGCGATAATTGATGGTCCTCGGTTCACACTGTTTAGGACGAAACAGCTGTGCAGTACTCTCCGGCTTTTAATAGTTCTCCAAATAATGTCAGTTTAAAATGAATACTGCCTTGAATGGTGTTACATAGAGTAAACAGAAACCCTTGAGTGCATCAATAAAACAAAGTTCAAATCTTAGTTGGTTGGACGCAATCGGCAGGAAGCCCTGCTCGACCTAGGTTTCGTGCTTCTTAGCACTCACCAGCAAGGCGTATCTGCAAACTTGACAGGACTGATGTCCCACCTGAGATTCGAACCCGCGTCACCAAGTGTTGTAGTCAGAGACTTTACCATTGAGCTATTTGGGCCGCGACTGACCTCCTGTAGGACTGGCTTACATGTACTGATTGGTCACGGGAGTGCAACCAATTTCACTGGGTGACGCGGGATTGAATCTCAGGCGGGACATCAGTTTCGTCGAGGTTACAGATACGCCTTGCTGATGAGTGCTAAGAAGCACGAAACCCAGGTCGAGCAGGGCTTCCTGCCGATTGCCTTCAACCAACTAACATCTACTAATGTGCACCGCGATGCTGAGCTTCCTAGCTTGATTGCCACATTGCAAACATGATCGATAGAATTCGGTCTGCATTCAGGACTAGACAACATGAAATCGGTCCCACTCCCATGACCAATAACAACAAAATTTAAATCTACTGGATAGATTCAGTAGTTAACAGTAAGAAGAACTGAAAGTGGACAGAATAACTCTCGTTTAACTTTTAGACTATACACAATGCTGTTTATGATGTAAACAATATGCACTTTACTAAGTTAACTCCTGTTCAAACCCTTTTCTAATAACTTGTTGTAGCTTCGTCTACATGCCAATGTCTTATCGACGATTCTTAAACATTCTAATATCAGATCTATTTGGAATAACTCTGAACATTTTGTTTCGATTCTTTTGATGAAACAAACTACACGCTTATAAGCAATCTGTCTATGAGGTAATTTACTACACTTTCCTATTCATTCCTCCTTCAGTGTCAAGCATACACTATTTCTTTCGAAGGAATATACCCTATCGCTGTCACATATAAATTTTGAAAATGAATAACTGTTAGTTGAATGGAGGCAATCGGCGGGAAAGCCTGAACCTAGACTTTCTTACTTTTGGGACTTGTCAGAAAAGCGCTTCAGCAGCCTCGACCGTGACCAATCAATGTACGCAATCCACTCCTACAGGCAGTCTGTCGTAGCCTAAATAGCTCAATGGCGCAGCACTGCCTTAAGCGAGGTATCACTTCCCCCAACACTACAGATTCGCCTTGCTTACGATTGTCATAAAGCACGAAGACTAGATCAAACGCGGCTTCCTGTCGATTATCATTTATCTCAATCCATCACAAAGGTCAGTCTACTAGTCTAGTGGCCACATTACAAAATGATTAGCGGAATTCAAATCTCCTAGGCGCTTTTCATCGGTCCCGCGTGTCTCCCTCTTCTCGCTCCTCACTGTTTGTTGCATGATCCAGTCCACCACAATCAGGAAGATTATGGGTGATAGTAGGTGGCAATCTTGTCTTACTTCTGTCCTCACCTTACTTCAAAGGCATCACTGAGCTTCCCATTGTGAATTACTTGGCATGTGGCGTTTTCATGTAGTTGTTGAATGAGGTTGATAAAGAGTTGTAGCACTAAAACCGCAGTGTTAAAGCAACTGCCAAATTACTTGTCGGTTGACGCTGTCGAAGGCCTTTTCAAAGTCGATGAAGTTGAGGTACAGAGTTGATGATGCGTAGTGTTGCAATTTGGTCCGCACATGATTTGTTCTTCCTAAATCCAGCATGTTCCGGTGGTAACTTTGAATCCAGTGCATCCTGTAGTCTCTCCACGATGATGCGGCATAATATTTTGCTTGGGATGGACAGCAGCATGAAATCTCTTTCTTACCTACCATAAATAGAAAATTCAGCTGTCGACATCCTTTTGTCGAACGAATATCGAAATCAACTAAGCGAAGTGAAGAGAAACAAAAATTTGGTCATGGTATGCTTGGACAAAGGACTGTAGAATAGTATTACAAAAGAAATTAGATTATGCGGAAACATTTTCCACTCATATTATCCGGAAAAAAATAAATTATTCAAACAGACAATATTGAACCATCCTACTGAGCAAACAGAGGTTCACTAGTGAAGGATACTGGAGAAAATGAGACGTAGGTCATTCAATAGAAAGGAATTGTATAATCAACTTCACCCATCGAATTCTACGATCCCTCTTTTATATAGTCTTCCCAAAATACACAAAGAAAGTATTCCCCTTCGTCCAATACCGGATATGATAAATTCTTCACATCATTCAGTCGTGAAATGCCTCGTGGAAATATTTGAACCTGTAAGGAAGAGGCTGTTAAACCATAATATCTATGACACATCTGATTTAGTTGATTCAATTAAGAATGACAGTTTGAAAGGTAAAAGGATGATTTCATTGGATCCTACATCCCTCATCATAAATCTACTGACAGAAACTATCTAATTCTTATGCAACTTCATTTAACTTTCCTCATCATCATCAATATCAACATTTAACCCTACAACATAGATGTTGGTATCCCAAATCCCTGCTTAAAAGAGCTTATTGTTCGATGTGCCTTTAACGTATACTTCAGATTTAATAATGAAGTCTTCAGGCAGATAGGTGGTGTAGGAATGGGTTATCCATGAGGACCCCCTTTTAGCAGACTGCTATGTACCAAGCCTGGAAAACACCAACTTATCAACAACAGTCAATGAGCCTCATATATCCAAAAGATACATTGGTGATCCTTTGGTAGTTTGTGATAAAAATATGAATCTTGTAAACCTGCTTTATACTTTCAACAACACCTATCCATGAATCGAATTCACTGTAGAATCAGAATCTATCTCAATGTTCCATTTTCTTGATGTTCAAGTCCAAAGAAAAGACGATAATTTACTTTGTAGATCTATTTACAGAAAGCCGGATAGCTTATTAATTTTCAAAGTTCAACCCCTCTAAGTAAGAAGAGAACTATTATCCTCTTACTTTCCTCAAGGATAAGGAGGATGTGTACCAAGGACAGTGTTGATGGAGAACTGAAAAACCTTCGAAGAACCTTAGTAGAAAACGGTTTCCCCTTTATTATTATTATTATTATTATTATTATTAGTCCCTTGGGTTCCGAGTGGAACATAGGGCTTCAGTAGCACGCCTCCAGTGACCTCTGTTCTCTGAGATCTTTTGAACCTGGTTCCACGACAGCCCAGAAGCTCTCAGTTTCCCCTTTAGGTTCATAGATAAGAATTTGAAGCCAAAGAATGCAACTGAAAAAAGATATCCAGCGCCGAAAAAGATTTTTCCGCTGAAACTTGATTTCAAAAATGACATTGCTTCAGGCATCTTCAAAAAATGACTGTCAATATCTTTGAATAGAACACACTTCATCGCCAACCTGCGAATCATTTTCTCCTGCAAGAAATGTTTCGGTTAATGTCTGGAAGGTAAACCGACGCATTGGGCCACAATCAGTGTGTGTATACCAGTTGACTTGCTCCTGTGGAGCTGAGTATATCAGTCATACCATGGGTCCGCTTGTAAAACGAACTCGCAAACACTACCCAGCCTGGCTAGGAAAGGCTGGATGGAAATGCATCTTCATCTTGTCATCTCACGTCCTTTATGAGAACTTATGCAAAATTGTCTCCAGGGCTTGGTCAAATCAATCGAAGTAAGTGAGACCAAAGCATTTGGGTATAACTGAAGCACAAGCAGTTGAAAAGTCCAAGTCACCAAAAGTCTTATACCACAGAGGTCTTCATTATAACCCGACACAAACCAGAGAATCAGTGCAAACCTATGAGCACTGGACAGCTATTTCGTCTTAGTATGAGACTGCTCAGGAGTGTACACTTACGAGTCCCTTAGAGATAAAATCTAGGACCATCCGATTTCATAATACACCATGACCATCACTTAATATCTTCGGTGAGTAGTCTTCTTGTTTGACAGAAGTTGGAAAACACAGAGCAATGCATTACAGCTCAGTTCCTGAATAATACTGGGCTTGCTATGGTGTCTAGGTGTGATCTCCGACCACGTCATATATGCACACTACTGAGAAGTTCCAACTTAGATCAAAAACAGGTATCCAAGGTAAGTGATGAAAACCTTGTGGAATAAACCAATTTCTCTAGAAATCTTCAAATTGAAAAGTCAAGAATTTTTTTATTTAGAATTTATAATTCTTTTCTTTCAAGTTGTTATTCATCGTAGACTGACATCAGTTGGAGGAACAAAGGAAACCTGGGAGCACTGGATAGTATGGGACTCCTCAGCAGTGCGCACCCACGACCCACACCACCAGGGATCTAACCCGCAACCTTCAGATTCCGTGGCCAGCACGTTACCATTGAGCTAGCCACTGGGTTAGAATCCAATGCTCCATATTTCCAACTTCTGTTAGCTACCGTGTAGCTACCGGGTTTCCCTTGTTCCTCCAACTGATGTCAGTCTACGAAGAATAACAACTTGAAATATTTTCAAGTCCCCATAACTCCCTCAAAAAATTCAATTGTTTTCTTTCTTTCTTTTGTTTTCAAATTAAAAAGTATCACGTAGTTTTAATTTAATGAAACAAAAGTATTTATTTACTCGATATAATATAAATATTGAACATTTGAACAGGATATGAGTAAACGCATCATCTCCCCATTGATATAAAATTTAATAAATAGTATAATTAAACTGTTTGATTTTTTAGAAGAAAAAAATCTGTAAAATAAAATAATTTTCTGATCGGATTGAAATAAAGAAAGAGTAAAGAAAGACAACCATTTGTATGAAAGACATTCATTTATTTGAAAGTCTTTCATTGTGTTACTGAGAAATAATTATTGAAAAATTTCATAATTGTAAAAGGTAGTATCAAAGAATTATCTATGTAAATATAAGTATACATATTTATGATGAGTAAAAACTGTACAATTTAAAACAAAAACCTCTTCAATATAATACATAGAAATGAATTTTAAACACACTCCTGACATTTACCTGTATACTTTTTACTTGATGAGCGTTTCAAATTACCTCCTTCATCATCATCATCATCATCTGCATCATCTGCATAACTATTTTCATCAGGATCATCTGTATCCGGTGTATCAACTGGAGCATCAGAAGATGCGACAAGATGTGAAGGTGGAGCAGTTGCTGAAATATTAGTCATTGGATGTTTCATCTCTTTATTATGTCTCCCTTTGAAACTAATAACACCACGTGATAATTTTAAGCCTAAATGATGACCACAACCGTGTTTACGTGTTAAATCACGATAAAAGTATTTTTCACGAAATATATGCCATAATTGACATATAATATCAGAACATATTAATTCACCTGCATTTATAGCAATCATACGTAATAGAAATACACCATCATTACGTAGAAATAAACGTGTAAATTTTTCAATCATATACTTATCTTTTTTATTAACTTGTTCACCAAGTTTTAAATATTTTTTAATAAAATTTGTACGTGATTTTTCATAGCTCATACGTGAAAACCATGTTGGTATACTAATAGCTGTAATAGTTGCAGCAAGAACAATCCAAAACCATAGAAACATATAAATACGCTCATTTAACATATTCACAGGTAGAACACATTGAGCTGTTGCATAATTATTTGATCCTATATGCTTTAATGGGACTAAACAAAAACCAACTCTTGGAAATATCATTGTCACTTCCCAGTCGAGACCAGCTAAAATATTTTTTGATATTGCTATGCCGAATAATGTATAATTTTCTGTTTTTAAACCAAGAAATGATTGCATCATAAATATTTGTCCAATTGCATTCAATAGATAAAGACATTTAATGAATAAGTAAGTTCCAAATAATCGTGTACCAAGACGTTTGCTCACTATGAATAAATATCCCCATTTCCACATTCGACGTACTATACGAGACCATAAACTAACACGATATTCACGTTGCTAGGAAACAAGAAAATAAAAAAAGGAAGCATAAATTGAACTATATGCTTGATAAAATATACGGTAGAGTTAAAAATGATAACGAACACTAACTAAAAGTCATCCTGAAGTAGGAACATTCAGTAGATGCCTACTTATTACAGGTCGACATGGGTATTCAGTGCAAAAACATCTTTAGAGGTCTATTAATACGTTCGTTAGCAGTTAAAAGTTTCTTTTTTCACAAGTAAATATGTCTGAGATAATACTAACTACCCAAGCAAACGGAAAGATCAAGTCTAGTTTATCCATTTGAACAAATTGACTAAGATAAAAAATAGGCAGTTGAAGTAAGTAGTACTCATGTATATGCTGGCTCTATGCATGCATTTAAGTAGTATATGGTATGATGTCGTTAGGAAAAGCAACTTGAATCAGTCTTCAATTAATAGAGGTACTGAAGTACGAAACGAGTATAAAAGATAAACAAAACACCAATTGAAACTTAAAGATAATCTCATAACAAATATAGAATGTAAAAACCATTTCCATGGCCTGTGTTTGATGTGTGAAGTTTAAATATTCTCCTATTCTACAGATTCAATAGTTTTCACCTATGTTGCTTCGATAGTTTTAATGAACTGAAATTTATTCATACGTAAAATATGCTTTGAGGTAGACAAAGAAGATTTCCTTCACTTTTCAACTGATATCAGATGTGCACTGTCGAAGTTTTATCTATCAAACAGGTGCAAATATGTTTTAGATAATTACATTAACTTAAAAAGCGTTTTAATCTTCAATATATTATAAAGTTATAAAATTTCTTTTTAAGGCCATCAGTTACCTACTTAAACAGAAGGTTTCCCACTGCCTGTCATCTTGTAACACGTCTAGGAACCGATGCATCCTATGTCTGCTTCTCACTTTCAGAAAACCTCAAATCAAAAAACGTTTTCATCAATGTAGACCTTAAGTTTTACAAGTGTGTGCTACTTAATTATACTTTGACTGTTAAGCTTAACGTATCAATCTTCCTATGCCTTTTTGATAACCGATCTGCGTATTGAACCAAAAACTGCGTGACTATAAAGACTAACTCAACATCTACATGAAACGTAACTTCAAAACCTGTCATCCATATTGGTATTATTACATCAAGAGTAGTTTTATATAATATACTATGATATGATCAATTAATTCTCAGTACAAGTATTAGAAGTTAACAAGTAAACACTACTTATATTAGCGCGTTATGAGTAATATATATAGCAAAATGGGAAAACGAAAAATGCGGTCACAATTCACAGGTGAAGAGTTTGGAGAGAGGAGAAGGCAAAATATTGAGAACATTTCACACTGAAATGCCAAACATGGGAATATCTACAGATATAACTTTTAGTAAAAACAAACAATGCGAGCGAAGAAATATTTCTTTTCAATTAGTTCCCCCATCAGTGGCTCTACACTAATATATAACATTTTCAAAACGTAAAATTACATACCATTCTAGTGATGAGAGTTGTTTAATGACAGGTTATCAATCTCAAAGTATCAACATGGTGAGAATTGATTAGGTAAGTAAAACAATTAACTAAAGTATAGATTAGTTATAATAGAAAGATTTTGTGAGATTTTCAGTAGGTTCTTACATATTAATGATGGATCTTGGCTAGCAGTGAAATCCAGGATGCGCATTTCGTCCTATTTGGGACTCATCATAATCAGAACCCTGGCAATATCGAGGCATTCGCACAGGAGCCCATATACCAATAGAGACCGATCAATTGGGTACAATCAACGACGGTAAGATATAAAAACAATTATACTAGGTTCTTACATAATTGATATTTTGCGGAACCCTAATTCTAACGAGAAAAAAGCGAAAATGAATTGTTATGTCTAGCGGTAAATTGTTGACGATAATCAGGGACAGCATGGGGAGAACAGGATGGCTAAAACTGTAATAATATGACTATGGTAAGGTTTATTAATATCAAAACTGATAATGAATCCAGTCAATCAGAATGAAGTTGTTCCGCTTATACACGTGCAACTAGCAAGTGAAGATTAAGTATGCTAGCGTTAGTTACACAGAAAAATAGACTCAAAGAATCAGAATAGCTGTTATGTTACAGAAATTAAATGGGTAAAATCAGTCAATCAGAATGAAAGTCAGCTTAGCTACTGAATCATTCAGGCTCTAAGAATACTTACATCTCAGTCCCAAAGCTGTAGCGGAATGGTTGACATGCTCACCGCGAGACCTCACAGTCATGAGTGAACACTACTAAAAAGACCCGTGCAAGGATAAAACAGCTGTCCAGTATTCCTAGGTATCCAAATGTTCTTCAACTGATATCGAATCATAATGAAATATAGTAAGTATGTCGTGAGAGATTATGTCGTTTTGCAATCAGACATAAATCTATGTTCATTTTAGGGATTGTTAGAGATTTATTGATTTCAGGTTAGTATTCACTATGGATTGATATCAGTTGGGGGAACATTGAAGACCTGAGAGCACTGAACAGCTGTTTTGTCCTAGTATGGGACTCTTCAGTAGTGTACGCCCATGACTTCGGCCCCCCCCCCGTCCTAGGGATCGAACCAATAAGCAAAACCATTAAATCCCCACAGACTCCCCTAACCAAATTAATCTAGTACTCGTTAATGACTATCTTAGAGAGATGGCTCCCGCAGCTCAAATGAGAAGTCATGACCAGTGAGGGAAACATGGTGACCGTGAGGAGAAATACTCATTGATGATATTGAGTGGTGGTCGCGTTATGTCGTGATGTGACAGAACTCGGAAATATGGAGTATTGGATTCCGACTTAATGGGTTAGTGGTGACATGCTGGCAGCGGGACGTGAAGGTCGTGGGTTGGGTCTGTGGCTGGATGGGGTCATGGGTGGGCACTGGTGAGGAGTCCCATACTAGGAAGAAATAGCCAGCTTTCCAGTGTTCCCAGTTTTTAATGTTTCTCCAACTGATATCAATCCATGATGAATACCGACTTGAAAAACAACTGTTGTCCTCAATGAATAAGTTTGAGTCGCATGTAACATTTTAAGGCAACCCTGATGATGAACATAGAATATCATTGAGCTACACATGACCGATTTTAATCTAATATCCTGGATACTCATACCTAACCGCTCCATCATTTCTTTCGTGTGTATTTTATCCATTTCTATATTAACGTCATGTCTACTAGTGCTATACCTCTAGATCTTCGAAGGGTATTAATTTGTGTAAGGTTTATCAAGCAAACTCAAGGCCTGATGAAGAACTGTTGGAAGTAACTATTGCTGCGTTAAACTGCAACTTCGCCACAGAGTGAAAAAAGTTGTATTTGGGATCGAAGCCTCATGAGAACGAGGTGCTGCTTCGTTGCAAAGGGTAATCTTTAGACTTTTGATTGAAGGTACAGATAGTTCAGCCTTATTCAGGTGCTTTCAAATGGTAAAAGTGGTGATGAATAAAGAGTAGTTCTTGGAAGTTATGTAACCGTTATATATGTCCTATCTAACAGGTTAGGTCCTCACTCAAAGACCCTATCACCTAAAAAGCTGAAGGAATTTGAACATGCAACGAATGAGCTGTTGATACAAGCTACTCCTCATCATGTTATGGTTGATTCATACTTTCGATACGTTTAAAGAGTCGTGAACACTTCTAACGATTAGTTGCTCTCCAGTAACTAATCAATACACCCAACCCAGCTCTACAGTAGGTCAGTCGCGAGCCGAATAGCTCAGTGTTAACTTCGTTGACTGCGACATTACGTGACGCTGATTTGAATCTCAGTGTGGACATCAGTTCCATAGAGACTGCAGATACGCCTTCCCGACGAATCTCAACAAGCATGAAATCTACGTCAAATAGGGCTTCCTCCGATTTCCTCCAACTAGCTAACTTCTAACAATTCAATCTACTTTTCCAGAGTTAAATGGCTATCAATTTCCTCAAAACCTTATTTTCAACCGATGGACATCTTATCTAAGCCCTATAGTAGCTACTTAGTTTCATATCTGATAGAAAGTGCGAAAATTCTATCCGTCCAACTTTAGTGCCGTAGAATAAGATGCGAAGTTCTGGGCTTTCACTACTGTAAATAATGATACATAAGGTTCCAAAAGGATTTTCAGGACAGATCAGTGTCAGCTATACTTTATCCTAGTTCGACACTTATTACCAGCGTGTATTCCTGACTTCATACAAGAACAAACTGAGATTTTCACGTGTCACAAAGTGTATTGCTGTATTGTGTGAGTATTCATTTGCTCATACCTCCCAAAATGGGTCTATTAGAGGTAGAGAGTAACTGGCATACAGAATCAAAAGATGGACATCAATTCTCACTTCTGTATTGGTAGTTGTGATACGCTGCAGATTTTTGCTAGTGTTTCATGAAATATGACCCTAAGTCAGTCACCGATTAGAACTGACTGCTTTGTCAGGAAATGATCCTCTTAAAGATCTTTGTCTAGTGGTTCACAAGGGATTATAAAGTCGTTGGATTTATGAGTTGGTATTGTTTTGGAAACAACTGAAAGATGGCAGTGCCAAACTGTTTGACCGTAATTTCGAAACCGCAGAAGGAGGTTGTTTGATCTCATCAGCAAAAATGTTTGCTGTTTAAGGTATCCCACATTCTTACAACTGAAGTTAGAAGTCACTAAAATTAGGAGTTTAAAGCTTACTTGTTAAGAAAGTGACAATAAGTGTTAGTTCCGATGATCATATCGGTAATGCGTATTCGCACAGACAGGATTATACTGCCACTAGGCTCATCCTTATTAGACTTCAGCATTATTAAATTTTTCTGAGATAAATTGCCCAGATTAAGTCGGTTTTATATTGATTTTTCAAAATTGGTGTACAACCAAGTATTCCTTCAAAACAAAACATCTTTGAATAAATAACATGCTTCACTGTGAAGGTCTTTTGACCTACAGTATATTAGTAGGGTTTTCAGCCAAATTAGAATTTCTGAGTAATTCTAATATGCTATT